GAAAGGTCACCTGCTTATGTGCAATGACTCCTCTTCGATGGGTGATCACAGATGAGGCTTCCAGAGCAAATGAGTATGTCCTTAATTTCACACATCTCTGTTTTCAGCAGATGTTCTGGATTCAGCAGTTTCCTAGAATTTGCATATTTGTGTAATATCAGTTTTAGTGAATTGTGGTCACCAGAAATTGAGAGTGGGGGGAAACATGTTTATTGTCATCCCAGCTTTTGGGGTGTAGTTCATGTGTATTGAAGACAGCTGGCCAAGACCTGCAGCAAATGGGCAGGGTACAGGGAGGGAGGTGCAGACTTCTTTTGGACTCCAGCTATCAGCAAGGTCTTGGGGAAAAGTGAACTTTTATGGTAACACAAATAATCACTGTGGCTTGGGAGGCTGCATATGGCTTTAACTTGGTGATAGCAGCATCCCATGGGTTATCTGGAAACTAACCATCTGGGTTCTGCCATGACTGATTTTATTTTGTCTGCATATTGCTCGGGAGAGGAGGAATAGAGCCTTAAGCTGTCTTTAAAAACCAACCTAAATCAGCTTGTTTCTGACATTCCTTCAAAGTTCACTTTGCTTCCAGGGTAGAAGGCTCCTATCTTCTGGAGGTATCATGATAGCAGTGTTCATGGTTGGATTGCCATCATGAAAAGAAGAGAGTGAAATGTGGAAATCCTGAACAAATTGCTTATTTTGAAAAGTCATTTTTTTTTAAGTCTTCTTTTCTGAAGAATATGGGAATTGATGGAGATGAATCAAAGGATTCTTTATAGTTCCTGAACAAAATGCCTTTCATTTTTGGATTCATCAGTTTGATATGTTTCCCAGGCACAGGGACTTCGTTTAAACATCTTACTCTACCGGCAACAAGTCTGGAGCCTGTTGCTGACACAGCTTTCCTGTGCTAGGGACAAAACAGGCTGCTGCATTTGCACTGGCTCTGTTCCCTGAGGGCTGGTACTGGATTACTGCCAGTATGATTTCAGTCTGTCTAGATGCTTAAGAGAAAGTGGAAGATACTGGGAGTATCTGTGAGTTTCTTGCTGAGCACTGGATGCTCAGCAGGACCTGTGTGTCTGTAGGCAGTGTGTTGGCCCAGGTGCTTTGTGGTTAAGGTGCTGAAGCCAAGAGCTCTGGCTCTAGACTGCTCTTTCCAGGAAACCTGTCATGTTTGTGATCCTGGTGAGAAACAAGTTTCAAAGTAACTATCACATCTCTTTCTGTCCCTTATTGAGTAGATTATTTTCTGTCCATCTAAGTTGTTACAAAACGATGGGTGATGTGCTGGTGTATCTACTGCTTTTTTGTTGCCCCTTGATGGCTAATCTTGGTCCTTTATGGATTATTAAGGATTAGCTGTGGGTTTTACCCCCTAGGATATGGAAGCTGTTGGAGACTGGGTTTTGATGGCAGAGAATAGTTGGAATAATGAAGACTGGACAATTTGTGGGTACTAACTTGTGATCGATCCTAAGGCTGGAAGAGTTGTGGTGGCAGAGTTCCCTTCCCAGCATGGGCTCAGCATGGCCATGTGTGCTGCAGGGACATGAAGCTAGCCTGACATGGTAGTAGCTGGTCCAGAGATGCCTTAATCTGCTGAAACATGGGGGAAGTATTGTGTTCTGCATCTTCATCAACTTAAGTGTGCCTGTGCCAGAACACTCGGGTCTTTGGTTTGTGTGCCCAGTGTACAGCACAGTATGATTTTCCCCTGGCGTCAGATTTTAAGTGCTTCACTGTAGCAACTAATGTGTTGTTTCTGTAAACTGCTTAAGGACCACTGCTGTATGCAGGGGCTGGGCCTCCCAATCGAAAGTGGTTTTGGCTGGCCTATTCTTGGAGCTGGAGAATTGAACTGATTAACAAACCTGCAAAGCAAGGTTTGCTTTGCTGTGGTAACTTGCAAGTATCTGTGCTCCTTTCCTGCCATTAGAGAAAAACTAATCCTTTCCCCCCTCACCCTTTTATTTTCCTTCTTTTTTGTTGTCTAGGCTGGAAGGGGAAGTGGAGGGAGGAAAACAGGAGTGACTCTGGGATATTTGGGTACCACTGCAGTGAGGGGTGAAGGCATGGAGGAATACTGGGAGTGAGCCACCTGTGTGGTGTTCAGTGCTGCACAGGAAGCTCTGAAAGTGGGAATCCAGAGACTGGTTTCTCCTGTCCCTTTGATGCTGGAATTTTTTGCTTGGAGAAATCACCAGGCTGCCATGAAAAATTCCTGCCGTCTTGCAGCATTACAGACTGTGGTCTGGTCTGGGAGATGGAAGACAAGCTGTAGTGTGGCCAGGCTCACTCTGGGTGTGATGGGTGCTTTTTCAGAGGTGGGAGATTGTGAGGACGTCTGCTGTGATTTGTTTCAAGCATCTGAGGAGAGAAAGAGGGCTGGTCCGAGTGAGTAAATGATGTGCTTCTGCATCCTGCTACCTTTCCCCAGCATAATGCTCCTCTCACCCTGAGATCACTTAGTCCTTTACATATTAAAGGTGTATTAGCAGGGAAATGGTGGAGGGAAAGTAACACCACCAGGCTTCAGCTAGCAAGCAGGATGTGCTGCTGGGATGCATGGCCCACATGCAGCTGCCCATCCTCGTTTTCTCCCCCAAACTTCCACATTTTCAGAGCACCAGTCCGGGAGCTACCCTGCGAACCAAACCAAACCAAACCAATGCAGTAGCATGCAGAAGTGGGGAGAGAGAGGTCCAGGCTGCTTGTGCTGTCGAAGGCTCACTGAGATTGCTCATCTCCTGTAACTCTGCTCCTGCCTGAGCAATGGGCAGAGGACTCTGCTGGTTGGACAGTCTGGCCCCTTATGCATCTCACAGGTAGTCAAAGGGTGCTTGTTTGGGAGAGCAGCTGACTCCTCATACCTCTGTTGTATGTCTCACAACTCTGGGTCACGTATATAACCTGTCAGATGAAGAAAGCTTTGTGGAAGCCTTGAGAAGGGTTATGTGCATGTCCATCTGTCCTGCCTGGCTTTGCAGAATGGCAGGTGGAGGAGATCTGTGTGCTTGGAGGGTCAGGGAAGTGCCAGAGCTCTGTCAAGAGCCAGAGCTCCATCCATGCCTCTCTCCATGGTGGAGCTGAGGACCCATCTGCCCCAGCCAAACCCCACAACTCTTGCTCCCAGTGCTCAGACTGCAAATACTTCAACCTCTCGACCTGCACACAGGTGCAGAGTTGCTGCTGCGTTGGTTTTTAAGTAACCTTCCAAGGGTTAATGTATTGTGAGAAGGTTGCAAAGGGCTGAAGGCTGGAATCCCCTCGATCCCTTGCCTGAAGAAACACAAAGTCCAATAAGCCAGCACCCCTGGGTTCGTGTTGGGGGGGATTAATTCATGCACTTGATGTTAAAGCTTGTCCAAGAGGTTTGCACGGGGGGGCCATCGCTAGGGCTAGTTGGCCTCTGTAAATGGTTGCTAGGGCCCTGGCATCAAGGGCCAATGTAGCTGCCCACAGCCACGGTCACGGAGGGAATTACACAGCCACAAAGAAATTGTTATTCTACATAATCTGCTCTTTGGAGAGTGACTGTGGGGAAACAGGCTGGCCCCAGCATGCCGCCAGCTCTGTGATCATAGAAGCGTGCTGGCTGCAAAGATCGGCCAGGGCTCGCCTTCTGATCTGGGGACACCAGGGCCCGAGGCGCTAATCTGCTTTATCAGCGATTTCTCTCTCCTGACACAAAGGTGTTTACTTGTTTTAACATCTCCTGGGACTCTATTTCTCCTTTTGTGTGGTCTTTATCCCCCGACGAGGGCTTTAGCCCAGATTACAGACAGAATTAAGGCATTTGGCGATGTGCCTCAGAACTGTGTGATGCTGGATCAAGGAGCAGAAAGTAACAAAATAATGGGGGGAGATGCTGGGAGTGACCCCACTGCGGGATCCATGCTGTCGGCTTTCAGGACCGCTTCATTGTCCTGAGAACCAAGAGCCTGTTGGAGAGGGGTGGCCGTGTGGCAGGGTTTGAAAAGCAGGTGCTTCAAGGTTTATTGTGTCCAGCATTTTTGATTCAGAGGGTATGAGGAGGAAGGAAAAGAGGGTTTGCAATAGGTGGCCCTTTCAAGCAGCTGAGCAGATTGCCCCCTCCAAGAGTCTGCCATGGCTGGGTGTTGCTGGCTGCTGGGTAAGTGGAGTGGTGCTGGGGATGGGCTGTGACATGTGCCTGATGCAATTTCATATGGCCCAGGGAAGTGTCTCAAGCTCCTTCTTGCAGTCTAGTAGGGTTTGCCCTCACCAGGCATCATCCAGCTGGTTTGCTGCTGGTTCTGCACATGAGAAAGCAGCAGAGTGATATGGTGAGAAAGCATCTGGCTTAGAGCTTCATGGAGATCTTGCTTTTGCTCTTCCACAGCAAGCGAGGAATTAAAAAGGAGGAGGTTATTAAAAAGAAAAGCTAGCCTTTGGAAAGTTATCTCCAGAGCAGCCCTGGGATGGTTGCTCTTGACCTGTCATGTTCAGCCCCAGGTAGCAGGGATTGCAGTAGCCAGTGTAACTGGAGGGGGTTGAGGAGAGCAGCCATGGCAGACTGAGCCAGGAGAGTCCAACTTGCCTGTGGATCTGAGCTGTATGTCAAAGATGTGGGGAAATAGCCCAGTGGGCAGTATCTTGAAGGACAGAGTCTAAGATGGGTTGGGACTGATCAGGTAAGTGGCTGTTGCACAAAAGCACTGGAGTTTGACTAAGGTGATAATTGTCTCCCATGGACTACTGGTCTCTTCTGCCAAGGAGAATGGCCCTGTTCTGCTGGGGGTCAGCTGTGCCTGTCCTCTTAGAGTTGTGACTCCAGCTGGTCACCCTCCGTGACAGTTAGTGGCCCAACCAGCAACGGAAGCTGGGGGAGGGAGAAGACGACTGTGCAGGCTTTGCATTCTGTTAGATCACAGAAATAAGATCTAGGAGACTCGCATGCCGCCATCTCTGCTGTGGCCAGCTGAATTGGAAGGGCACTTTGCTCTGAATGACTCTTCCCCTATTGTGTTTCATTGCAGTGGTCAGCTGTTGACTTGTTTAGGGACTGACTTCCACCATGGAGCTGGAGTCCTTGACGTCTTCTACGAAACACCCTCCCTTCTCCTTTCTTGTGGGTATGACACCTACATCCGCTACTGGGACATACGGACCAGCACACGGTGAGCCTACCCTGCTGGCATCTGAGGCCCACATGAGGCTCCTTGGCTTTCCCTGTGCAGTATCTGGGAACTCACCTGCAGCTGAATTAGCTCCTTCAGACAAACTGGGGCTCAGCTCCAGTGGTGGAGGAGTGGAGGCTCAGCTCTGGTTTGTGTTGCTCATGCAGGAAGTGTGTCCAGGAGTGGGAAGAGCCCCATGACAGCGCCCTGTACTGCATAAGGAGTGATAAGAACCATATGATTGCCAGTGGCTCTTCTTACTACGGCGTGGTGCGCCTCTGGGATAAGCGGCAGACTCGGTGCCTGCAGGTGAGAGCTGGCTGAGACCCGGCAGCAGCAGAGCTTCTGAATTATTCTCTGGCAGCCCAGTGCCCATGTCTCTAGAAAAAGGGAGAGGGCCTGCTGGGCTGTCTTTGGGGTGAGCCCACTGTGGGGAACCTAACCTATATGCAGGGAAAAGTGACCATCTCAGCCACTGAGTCTGTAATACTGGTTGTGGTCTTCATGCTGACCCTTCTTTGAAAGGTTCTTTCTCGTGTTTTCTTGCAGAGCTTTCACCTGTCCTCACCCACCAGCAGCCCAGTGTACTGCCTCCGTTTCAGTACCACTCATCTGTACGCTGCCCTGGCATCAGCCCTACACGTCCTAGACTTCACAGCACTGTGAAAGGGCACCACAGCTGCTTCTGGTCACCCCAAAGCAGAGTTAACACTTGGCTCAGGGAACCACAGGGCAGGAGAGGTGAGAATGGCCCCTAAGGCTTCTGAAGGGATCTTTTTTTTTTTTGCCTACCAGAAAGCTACAATGAAGAGTGCACTAAGGGCCAGACTTTCTGAACCTCACCTGCCTGTTAGTGGAAATAACAGCTTGTTGTCCTTTACCTTTTAACCTTTTTATTTTGTGTAAGTCAGAGTTTGGTTTCTTAACATTCTTTTTTTCTTTTTTATTCTTTTTTTTCTGGGGATATAGCATTTGAGGGGCAAGTTGAGCTGGGATGCCCTATCAGCTGTGTGTGCTGGTCAGGCTGGGGTCAGCCAAGCTCTGAGCCATGTGAAGGAAGTCTAGGCTGCGTGTGGGGTGGATGGATTTAGTGGAAAGGAAAGGTGTCTGGAGCCAGGCCCACCTTTCACGTGCACTTGCTCTCCTGAGAGCTGCTTGTGTTGTCCTTTGCAACCAAGAGCAAGAATTGAACTAAAAGGCAGAGCCAGCCCTACTTTCAGTGTATGCCTCCCCAGGCTGGCCGTCAGGTCAGCCTGTGCACTTGGCAGGGCTGAAATGTTCATGTTTTGCTAAATAAAAACTCTGAAGGGAAACAAAAGCGACTGTATGTTTTGTTTCAAGTTCAAACGGGGCTGGTTGCAGAGGCCTGGTTGGGCGGAGGAGGTTGGACCTATTTTCAGACGCTTACAGATCTCTCTCCCTAACTAGACCCTGTGATGCTGCTCATTGAAGGCAGGTTTTGGTATCCTAGATCTCATGTCACTTTTTCAAACAAGAATTCAAAAAGTAGGATCTGCATTTTGCTTGCTGTCTGCATGATGAAGCAGGAGACACCAAGACCTTGATGGATCTTGTGGGCACATGAAAGTAGGCTCCACTACTTTTTGTGTCAACCATCTCAACTCAAACTGGGACTCAGAACAACTGTAGCTTTCAGCATGCTCAGTGCTGTCTGGATGAATGCGGACATCTGTGGATGAATGTGCTGTGGGTGAATGCAATGGTGTCTGGAGTCTGGTCCTGTTTGGGGGAAGGTGTGTGAACCCTACTTGCCTGTGAGTTTGGGAATCCTGGATAGGTAAAAGGAGAGATTTTGTATCACAAAGGGGGAGGACTTCTAGGACGAAGCACCCAGCATGGTGCTTTGTTAGAACTTGATAGGTAATTTCCACTGTCAAGAGGCTGCTTTTCCCTTGTAATGCACAAAAATTGGAATGAGATGTTTGCTGGAGCCCCTGCAAGAGCAGGGAGGGAGTGGAACCAACCAGCTCCTCACCTTCTTGAAGGCAGCCCTCCATTCCCAGTGGCTGTGAGACAGCAGCTCAGGGTGCAAAGTAATTTAAAAGTATGACCTTCCTGCAGGATTACGTTCTTACAAGGATCTTTCCAGCACAGCTCCTGTTACAGTTCCTAATCTGTGCCAGTTCCTCTGCTGCCACTTGTGCCTGCTTGCTGCCAGCTCCCTTGTAGCTACTGTGGTGCTACATATTCTCCTTGTGTAAGTGGTAGAATTGATGTCTAAGTGCCCCAAGCAATGATCTACTGCTGTAAAAAGATGCCATGGCTGGAACAATCTTCCATCAGCTCAAAATGGTAGATCCCAAAGATAATAATTCTGGGGGAGTTTCTGGGTTATTGTTAACACTGAGCTGTTGCTGAAAAGATGGTGCTTTGCATCCACGGTTGCAAAATACTGCTGCTGTATTGCTTGGAGCACGTTGGGCTCCGCATGCGAGGAGAACTTTAGATAAGTGATTAGGCAGGAGATAGAAGGCTAGAGAGAGAGCTGGCAGAGCTTGGGAGGGGGGGATGTCTGGCTTTTCTCAGGTGCTGGTGTGTTACAGGTCCTTTAATAAAACTGGGAGGGAAGGATGGAGATATTAAATGTCTTAGGCAGTGTCCCCTGGGAGAGGCTGTAAAGGAATGGGAGTAACTGTGGGGTGGGATGAGAGGTTCTTTATTACACTGGGACTTAGGCAAGGCCCAGAGTAGGAACGAGCACGTCAGCTGAGCAGGTGAACAAGTATCACTGGTGCAGGAGACGACTCCTGTGACAGGCCTGCCTGCAACACTGCTGTTGCTAGTCCTGCTGTTTCTTTCCTGCAGCCTATGTTGGTGGGTCCTGTTCTTTCCTAGCTGCTTCTAGGTGCTTCCTGGCTGAAGCCTGGAGCAGAACTGCAGTCCAGTGATGGTGCCAGTGCTCGTGAGTAGAAGAATGCACCCTCACATCATAGGTGACATTGGGGAATGCTGGCTCTGATGAACTCTGACAGTCGATAGTGCCTCCGTTGTCTTGAGAACACCATGCTGGTGGTTCCTGGAGCCACCTAGCAGTGAGGCTCTAAATGGAGATACCACCCAGGCTCTAAGCTTTCATTGTTTGAAAGCAGTCCTTGTCAGGGGAACTACACGAGGAGCCTGTGACTGGCTTACTTAAAAGTAGGGTTTGTTTGGGTAGGAGCTGTTCAAATATGAACCAGGATGGAAGGACGTGCAGAAATCAAAGGACAGGATGCTGGTGCAGAGGAGGGACAGCAGCTGGTTGGAGGGCTAGTCACTAAAACAGCACTGCAGTGGCTGTCCGTGCTATGCATGGGGTTTGTGTGGCAAAGTTTGTGCTTGTGCCTTCATGGACAGGGTGTGCTAATGCTACTCAGGAGCTGGACAGCAGCCCCTGTCACTACTTTCCCCTCTGTGCCGTGCAGATGAAAGCAGCTGCATTTCGGTTCCTGTGCTGTGCTCAGCAGCCCCTGTGACTGCTTTCCCCTCCATGCCATGCAAATGAAGGCAGCTCTGCACAGCCGCCATCATTCTGCACAGCGCACTGTGCATGGCTGGCAGTAAGGAAGCAGCTGGGTGTCCTCCTCAACACCCCATTTCATAGCCTGTGCTCAGTCAGGTCTAAGCATTGATGCTGTGTGCAGAGATACCGGAGCATCCTTCTAACTGCATGGAGGACCTTGCACGACAGCACAGGAGGGAGCTGCTGGCAAGCACATCCCACACAGGTAACGGGTGTGAGGAGGAGGGGATGTCTTGTTTACCAAATGTTACTGCCCTCAGCGATGGTGGCAGACACAGGGAATTCCCAAGGGGAACTACCCAGCTTTCATGTCACTTCTGCTCATAGAGGATGGGGAGCGGGCTGCTGGCTGTGGATGCAGTGCTCTTCCTCTACATGCTGCAGCTTCTCACAACTCATACAAGGATCATAAACATCTGTGTAAATCAGCAGATCAGGCAGTAAAGAAATTGACTACCCTGCCATCTCCCTGGGCCTACAAAGATTCCTCCAAATGTCTCTATTAAGAACAGGACTAATTTTTATTAGAAAAGGCAAAATAAATACCATGAAGCCATGCCAGAGAGCTGCTTCCCACCTCAGCCTCTTAGCAGCCACTTCCTACTGGGTCTTACAGTCGCCATCCCCACTGTTAGCTGGCTTTACCTTCTTCAGCTCCTTCTGTAGCTGCTCTTCTGCAGCCAGGATCTCCTTTGGCTTCTGGTACTGTGGGACAGAAAGAAATGTCATTAGCACTCCCCTTGAGCCTCTGCTCCAAGCAGACCAACTGGAGCCATGTGCTGCCAGCACAGCTGGGGCCCTCCTGCCAAGTGAGGCCTTTCTGTTATGTTACCAGCTGCCTCCAAAGCCCATTTGGAGAGATGATGCCATCAAGCTAGGCACATTTGCCAAATCCAGGGTGTCTTACAGTGCAAGTAAAACTTCACAGTTAGATGTGGAGTCCTGGCCCCCACCAACCCCTCTGGAATATCCTGGCAACCTGTGTCATGCAGATCCCTGGTGTGCTCACTGACTGTATGCTTACATGTGAAATATGTGTGTGTGTAATAAGCATATATATAAAATATGCTTGCTTTCTTTTTTCTAAGGCAGATGGTGAAGTAAGAGTTGCAGTTCCTCTGCCCTCAGAGGCCTCACCCAGCTGCAGTTCAGTGGTGGGTGCAGGTGCTTTTCATCAAGGGTTTGACCTGTAGCAAACAGAAGCTCGGACGGACTCTTGGCCTACTTCCTCTGCATGTGCACCCGCAGCTCTGATGCAAGGATTCCCTTGGAGGAGATGCTTTCTGGGTAGCTGGCTTCTACGTTTAAGACAAGCACCTGCTGCTCAAAAGTCTGTCTGCCTCTGTCTGCTCCTTGCAACAAGAAGGAAGTGCCTGCTTTGCTAGTCTCTCACTTCCACCACGTGCATGGAAGTGTGTTCTCTCTGACACAAAGCAGCAGGCAATTTTAAACTTTAAGACTGAGACCTCCAAGTGCAGCAGATCCTTGGACTCTTAACCCTTGTTATGCTCTGGGGCAAAAGAAGCTTGCTGTCACTGAGAGTGGAGGCTTGCTCAGGTCTGAGCACGGGAATACATGGAAAAAGGGCCACGGCAGACATGCTTCCATCTGTAAGTCACCTTGAGCAGCAAGCAGGGCCCCTCCTGCAGCCTGGGCTGTCCTGGCTAGTGTCAGCATGCCCCGTGTAATCTGAAGCTCCCACTGACCATGTATACAGAAGGGGGCTCATCAGTGATCAGCACATCACCCTGCTCTGCCTCGTTTCCCCATGCGTAACAATTTTAACTTCTTTGTGGACATAAAGAGAAGGGCAAAGTGCTGTTCTGCATGGCTAAAACCTCACCGTGATGATCAGGGTGTTGTTGGCATGGGTGAAGCTCAGAGCAGCTGCATCCAAGGGGAGCTCGTATCGGTCCAGGTCAGGAATAGAGAACTTCTTGTAGTACCTACAAATGAGAGAGGAGACAGAAATGAGGAAGGTGGGGTTCCTATTCCCTGTTAGCAGTGCTGAACTACAGAGTGCTGTTCTGCAAGGTGTAGACAAGGACGAACAGACCTCTCAGGGTTGGCAGGAGGATGCTGTGCCATGTTGTGTGCCTGCTGGTGCCCCCAGGCTGGCAGCAGCACTACAAACCAACCTCCA